GGGAAGAGAGGGGTCTTTTCGAGGTTCTTAACTCTCAAAAGGACAGAGCCCGTCTGCCCAGTCAAGAGCTTTGGTTGAGGATGTGTTGAGTAGACGCACAGTCTCTCTCCCCCAACACCTGAGACGCCCCTGGTGGAAGGCGGACAGAGGGAAGCAAGGAACGCGTCAGGGTTGGAATTCCCGGCTCAGGTGGATCCCAATCCCTCCTCCCCAGTGAGCCTGGACACCACAGAGAAGACCCCCCTGCAGGTTTGGGGCATCTGGGATTCAGAGGATCTGTTACTCTCTCCCGGGGCCTATCCAATGAGGTGCCTGAGGTCCCAGGGAAGGAATAGCCATGTAGGGTATCCAGGCAGGTGGGGCTGGGCTCAGACAGAATTCGTGAAGCACCTGTCTAGAGGGGACCTGAAGGTTCCCAGAGGGATTGCAGACCCTGGAGGAGCTGCAGGAATGAGCAGGGGTCAGCAGGTATGTGGGCGGAGCCCAGAGCAGGTGGGACACTGACAAGCTCTGTAGGTGTCATGTGGACACACAGTGGCAGCTGGCCCCTCCCCGCTGCCAGACGCAGCCCTGGGAAATGGGAAACCCAGCTGCCTAAATCACATTTCTTCAACCCCAGCAGAATGGAGGTGCCCACTGAAAATTAATTGTCGTGTAGAAAGAAAGCGAGTTCTATTTGATACACATCTGAGTTTGTGGCATCAACTCACCCTCCCACCCCACCCCCAGTGGTGAGCAGCGTCAGCAGTGGTCAGCCAGACCAAGGCCGGTCACTAGCACCAGCGCCCTTACTCCGCCGCCATCCTGCAAAGTTTCCTCCGTGTGCCTGGACCCCACTGCTACTTCCTCCCTCCCACGCCACCGCCTCCAGGCTGTGACTTCATGCCCCATCCTGACCCAGCACAACCCCAGGCCTGGTTCCTGCCACCCTAGCCTCCCAGACTTGTGCGTTTGCAGGCCAGCCCACCAGCTTAGCCCTGTGCACTCTTGACTCGTGTCATGGAAATCCCTCCTTCCTCCCTGGCTCCTGCAGCTGCTGGCTGGCCCCGGCTTTTCCCAAGTTGACCCCACCCATAATGTTCTTGACATCTGTTTCTGATCTGTTGAGTTTCTGCCTGTTTTCCCCTTCCCCCAGATGTACACGTGGCAGTATACCCGGCTACTGGGGAGGGCCTGTGGAGCTGGCAGTACAGGCAGGGAGCAGGAGAGGGGAGGCATGCTTTCATCCAAGGACTCCTGCTCCTTGCTTCCGCGGCTCTCTCCCTCTATGCTGGCTGCAAGTCATTCAGCTGCCAAGTGCTCTTGGAGCTCCCAGTGCTGCTAATGCACAAGCACCATTGCCTTTGGTCCTCAGAACAAACCTGAGACCCGCGGGGAGGAAGGGGCAAGCCAGGTCACGTATAGGAAAAATAACGTCTGCTCTGGGACAGGAGCCATTCTAAGGAAATTGAAGCCCGATCAGAAGTCCCCTGGCCTGGCTCCACAGTTCACCCGCTATGGAATTTGAGCACTGACTGCTTCTCTAGAACGTCCCCAGCCCTGTTGCATACACTTTATATTTTCCAGGACAGTCAGCACTAATTTCATGTTTCCTGCCCCATCTTTAGTCCATGGACCCCAATTTGGGGTTCTGAAAATACAGTCACCCTATATAGCCTTGGCCACTCCCAAAAGCCTTGATGGGGCAAGAGAGGAGAGATTTTGAATCTGATGTGACAGACAAGGACAATGAAGGGTCCAGAGCGGCTAGATGAGTTTCCCAGCACCCTCAAGTTCTCAGGTCAATCAGGCAACTCCCCCAGGCAGAGCTGGCAGAAGAGCCCACCTCTGGGCACCCAAGCCTATTCTCTTCTCACCGCCAGAGAGAAGTCTCGAAGGAGCAGCAAAGCCCAGCAGACCCTTTGCTCAGGTTGCACCCGCTGAACCTCTGCTACTAATGCTCTTGCCTCCTTCAAAGCCCAAGGGGACACAGTGTTGTCCCGCAGAATCACGTCCACAATTCACCTGTTCCCAGCCATTCTGTGTCTTCCACTGGACCCCAACGCTGTCCCTGCTGCTTCCAGTCTCCCTTGCACAATCCGTGCTGTACCTGGGCTCCAGGTAGAGCTCTCACCCGTGACCACACTGCTCAGAATCCCCCAGCAGCTCCCCAGTTAAGTCCACACTTGGCCTGACATTTGAGGTCTTTCATGACTGGGTCCTGACCTTTCCCGTCTCAAATCCCATTCTGCTCACACTCTCTGCCTCCTTTCCAAACATTTACCTAGTGTATTGCTCTCTCCCACTGCCCAAACATACACTGTATTGTGCCACCTCCAACCCTTTCATCCCATAGCCCGCTTCCCCCACATCCTGTGTCATTATTCATCCTCTAAGGCCCTACTCAAATGTCCCCGCCACTGGAAGTCACCCTCGCTAGAATTCTCCACTCTCTTCCCCATAATCCCACATGGCAGAGGAGGGAGCTCCTCTATGGACCCTCTTCCCAGGAAGGCCGAGGACTTCCAGACACACCCTACGCAAGCCCATGGACTGGATCAAGCCCACCCATTCAGGCAGCAGGCCACCAGGGACATGGCCAAGTTCAGCCACCTGCACCAGCTCTGTCCTTGATTTGAACTCAGATCCCTGTCTGATCACCCCTTCCCCTCAACGCCCCCAGCCTTTTCCCCAGGCGGCCTAGCCAAACAACAGCAAAGTGGAGGTGAGGTCCTCTGACTCCCAGTCCAGGGTATTTCCATTTCATGGGCTGCTTCTCCTCCTGGCCCTCCTCTCCCTTCCCTTCTTTGCTGCCTCAATTGCAGAGGGAAATGTCACTTTTGAAATATGTAACTGAAAGCCCCCAGAGTGAGAAGGTGGCTATGCAGGCATTTTGCCAGCTCGTTGGGGTCACCAGGACTAACCAAGCATTTCAAATCTCCTGGGGGATGCTGTCCCCCAAGACCTGGCAAGAGGCTTGGGGGCTTCCATTTTCCAGGGTCTTTGCCTAACCCCCACCATGACCTTGCTTGTCGGGAGCTTTTCCAGCACAAAGATCTAGTGGCTCTTGCCACCCATCGAGGATATGCCATCAAGTCAGGAACTGGGCTCTTGTGGAAAAAAACTGGCCCACACAGACCAGAGCCGGTATCTGGACCACGCAGAGGAAGTGCCTGCAGCAGATCAGACGAGACAGCAGAACACAAAGGCTGTCTTGGAGCCCCAAACTAACGTGGCCTGCAAAAACCTGAAGCCGTTCACCTCAGTTTGCAAAGGACTATCACCAATCTTCCTGCAGGTGCTTGGCAAGAAGTTTCACAAGCAGAGGCTCCTGCCTGACACCTTGGCAACCTTCACCCCCAGGGTTGAGTGGGGGTGCTGGTTAGGTCAATGAGGCAGACACGGCCTGAGCCGAGAGTGTGCCATGGGATGGCTCCCCTGAGCAACCTCTGACCTGTTAGGGATGTCTTGGGCGAGAGCTTCCAAATGGTCGGGTATGCTGGGAGGCCCCCTTCAGTGGCCTGATGGCCACCAAGGAAACTAAGGGTTGTGTCTACTCCTGCCTGGGCGGGCCCCTGGGCCCGGCTGAATCCAGGGCCAGTTGTGGTGGGTTCATTCTTTAAAGCATGCTTTTCCACACATGTCCAGAAAGCCATCAAACAGCAACAATAACATGGCGGAGCAGGATACCCCCATCAAATCAGTAAGGGGAGCTGGCATGGATTACATTAAACATATTAATGTGAGTAGCCACCATGCTGGGTTAGAAATCACACCCATTCAGGATAGTCCACTGTAGAATGCAGTGTGCATTTTCCTCCAGGGAATGTTCAACAGTTCTCCTGTAAATATTAAACACAAACATGAGAGAGAATCCCCAAGTGAGGGGCCCTGGACTGTTCTGCATGTCTAGATGCCTCACTGGCCAGTAAACTCCATGGGTGTTCTCCAAGGGGAGGGGATGGGTTGCGTTCCCCATGGCAGCCCCCGTGTCTGGTGCAGAGCCCAGCAAGGAGACCCAAGCAGAAAGAACCAGCCTGAATTGCCAAGACACACAACCTTTAATCACACTGGACAAGCAGGGCAGGGGCAGAGCTGGGCTGGGGGTGGTTAGACAGCACCAGCCTTCACGACATTGGGTCAGGCCCTGCTGTCATTACCCAGCCACACAGCCGCGGCTCCCTTGGCTAGGAGTGAGCACCAGAGACCACCACCGGGGCCACCTCAGAGTGGGCACCAGAGACTGCCCCGGAAGCTGCATAAGCACCAATGGGCGGAGGCCATGTCCCTCTGGGGAGAGGTTCAGGCCACCTGGAGTTGGGGGAGCAGAAGGCTTGGGGCCACCAGGCTGCCCCACCCTGGGTGAGGGAGAAAGGACAGAGGGCCTGATGCCCCTTACTTGGCCTCAGCCTCTCCCAGAGCCTCTCCTGGCATCATGGCTCAGAGGAGGGTCCCACTGCCTGACCTGGAATGTTGCCCACTTCAGTTCCCCAGAGCTGCTGAGGGGTCCAAAGCCTGGTACCTTCTGCCCTGGCCCACTACCCAGCAGCATCTGTAAAGGCAGCCAGAGGAGGTTCTGCAGGGAGGGGGCAGCCCACCAGGGCCTCAGCACCTTAACAAAGCCTGGAGATCCGGGAGCACTTGGCCAGCGAGAGGGCCTGCAGAGGGCAGAGAGCACCTGGGGACAGATATCAGTGCCTGACAATGGCCAGGAGGAGGAGGTAGGGGCAAGAGAGCAGAAGGGGAGCATTAGAGGAATGACAGAGTTCAAGGATGTTGGGAAGATTCTGGAATGTTTGAGTTCAACAGTTCTCCTGTAAATATTAAACACAAACATGAGAGAGAATCCCCAAGTGAGGGGCCCTGGACTGTTCTGCATGTCTAGATGCCTCACTGGCCAGTAAACTCCATGGGTGTTCTCCAAGGGGAGGGGATGGGTTGCGTTCCCCATGGCAGCCCCCCGCGTCTGGTGCAGAGCCCAGCAAGGAGACCCAAGCAGAAAGAACCAGCCTGAATTGCCAAGACACACAACCTTTAATCACACTGGACAAGCAGGGCAGGGGCAGAGCTGGGCTGGGGGTGGTTAGACAGCACCAGCCTTCACGACATTGGGTCAGGCCCTGCTGTCATTACCCAGCCACACAGCCGCGGCTCCCTTGGCTAGGAGTGAGCACCAGAGACCACCACCGGGGCCACCTCAGAGTGGGCACCAGAGACTGCCCCGGAAGCTGCATAAGCACCAATGGGCGGAGGCCATGTCCCTCTGGGGAGAGGTTCAGGCCACCTGGAGTTGGGGGAGCAGAAGGCTTGGGGCCACCAGGCTGCCCCACCCTGGGTGAGGGAGAAAGGACAGAGGGCCTGATGCCCCTTACTTGGCCTCAGCCTCTCCCAGAGCCTCTCCTGGCATCATGGCTCAGAGGAGGGTCCCACTGCCTGACCTGGAATGTTGCCCACTTCAGTTCCCCAGAGCTGCTGAGGGGTCCAAAGCCTGGTACCTTCTGCCCTGGCCCACTACCCAGCAGCATCTGTAAAGGCAGCCAGAGGAGGTTCTGCAGGGAGGGGGCAGCCCACCAGGGCCTCAGCACCTTAACAAAGCCTGGAGATCCAGGAGCACTTGGCCAGCGAGAGGGCCTGCAGAGGGCAGAGAGCACCTGGGGACAGATATCAGTGCCTGACAATGGCCAGGAGGAGGAGGTAGGGGCAAGAGAGCAGAAGGGGAGCATTAGAGGAATGACAGAGTTCAAGGATGTTGGGAAGATTCTGGAATGTTTGGAGGATCCCAGAATGCTCAGAACACACTAGAATGCTGTGAAAGTTCTAAAATCTGGTTACTCAAGTGGGGTCCATAGATTAGCATGTCAGAATCTCCCAGGAACTCATTAGAAACACAGAATCCTGGGGCCCCATGCCTGCCGAATGAGAATCTGCATGTCAGCACAGTCCCCAGGTGACTGGCACACACATTCAAGTTTGAAAAGTGCTGGTCTGAAAGGTTGGGAGAGTTCTAGAATACTTAGGTTAGAAGACTTCTTAAAATATGTCCAGGAGAGGAGAGAGGCAGAAACAGACTGGGAGGGGTGATGGGGGGAAGGAAAGGAGGAGCCGACCCAGAATGCCGAGTCCCAGGGGGCTCACTCTACAGAGGACAGGACCTGCGCACCGCCATCCCGCACCCCAGCCGCCCTCTGGAGGCACTAATCGTCCTCGGGCTTGATGAGGTGGCCACTGAAAGTGATGTAGGTGTCCACGTCATCACTGTAGATGGCATTCTCACGCTCGCGCTTGAAGAGCCGTGCCCAGACGCGGTCACCGGGCGCCAGGGCCAGCATCACGCTCTGGCTCTGCATGATGCTGCGGTCACTGGGCTGTGCATACAGGATGACGGCTGCCTCCTCGTTGTGCACGATGTGCACGTAAGTCTCCTTGAAGTTCCAGCTGTGCACGTTGAGGCTGAAGAAGTAGAGGCCGCGGAGAGGTGCAACAAAGTGGCCGGCAGCCAGGTCAAAGTGCCCATCCAGGTTCACGAAGACCGTGTCGAAGAGCAGTGGCTGGAAGCCCTCGCTGCTGTGCAGGGCCGTTTTGCGGCCCACTGAGAAGGCCGAGAAGCGTGTCTGACACGGGCCACCGGGGCTGCCCACCTGCCCCTTGGCACCCTTGGTGCCCTGTGGGCCGCGCTCCCCCCGGGCTCCCTCCCTACCCAGCTTTCCGGGTGTGCCCACCAGGCCTCGGTCCCCTTTGTCACCTGTGGGAACAAGAAGGGGAGAGGTCAGAGTGGGCACCCAGACCTGCACCAAGGGCGGACCTGTTCCAAATGCTCTGCCCCTGCCAAGAGAAGGACAGCCAGAAGCGGAGCCAATATTTACTGTGTATCCTATGCGTGCCAACTATCACCTCCCTGGATGCCCCTGGAGAGAAGACACCACCACCATCTCCATTCACAGAGAGGTTAAGTGGCTCACCCGGGATCACGCAGCTCAGGAGTGGGAGAGGCAGGACTGAAGATACAGTCTAACTCTACACCTGCCTGCTCCCCTCACCAGCGGAGAAAGCCTGGTGGTGGTCCCTGGGAAGCCAGGCCCGGCGCCCACCCCCAGGGCCACTGCACCCAGCCAGACTCCACTGCCATGTGGGGCATGACAGGGTGCAGTCTGTGTGTCTGACCCAGAGAAGGAACCAAGAAAAATACCTCTGCCCACCTGGAGGCAAAAGCCCTGGTTAGGAGCCAGGCAGCCCTTGGGTGGTGTTATGCCCCACTGTGTGACCTGGGGCATTTCGTGGCTGGGCTGTTAACTTGAGTAGTATGTTTGTTGCTTACTATCTGCCTTCCCTTCTAGAAAGGAAGCTCCATGGGAGCGGGCATCTCTCTCTGGCTTGTCCATGCTCTGTCCCCAGAATTCAGAGCAGTCCTAGCATATAGTAGGTGCTCAATAAATGTGTGAATGGCAGAAAGCATCTGGGACAGTTTTCTGTCCTGCTTTTTCCTGCATGTTGTTTCCCCTAGCCTAGGAAGAGACCCTACGCCTTCCCTTCCCCAGTTAGGCCAGTCCAGCCCAAGCCACACGTGGGGACTTACCCTTCAGGATGGTGATGTTGATGTAGGGCCTGACCTCAGGTAGCATATACAGGAGGGCAGATGGGGAGACCGAGGACACATCTGCAGCATCAGCAGGGGCCAAGGAATCCTCAGAGTCACAGCACCGTCGACAGTGCCCAGGGGGACTGGAGCCCATGGCTTCCCCAGAGGTGGGCTCCTCGGTGGGCACCCCAAACACCAAAAGAGGGAGCAGGAGAACTGCCCAGCGGAGGCCCAGGGCAGCCATCCTCATGGTGACCTGGGGCAGGGAAGGAGGGGTACAAACTGTACTTGGCTTACCACCTACACTGTGCTGATACCCACAGCAGATGCCACCACCCACAGCGAGGGCACTCCTGACATAGCTCAGGGAGGGAGCGTTAGTGCCTCCATTTAACACATGAAAAGACTGAGGCCTTCACAGAGAAGCAAGTTCTCCCAGGTCACTTGTGGCAATACAGGGCCTGGAGACCGACTTCCTGAGCCCAGTCCCTGGAGGTCTCTGCCATACATGGGCCTGAGAAGGAGGAAGCCCCCTGAAGAGAGCCACAGCCAAGAGCACTTGGGGGTCCCACGCCTTTTCTGGGGTGGGAGAGGAAGATGCCCCAGCTGCCCATGCGTTGTAACCAATGAGACTATACAATGCTCCTCTTGCCTCCCACCTCCCTCAAGCTCATTCTCTCGCCACCATGGACTCCGCCATCCCCAGCAAGCACGGAACATCAGTGCAGAGTGAGGGACGCCTGTGGCCCTGAGGGACAAACACAAAGGATTCTGCAGGCTTGTTCTTCAGCAGAAGAGAGGATACATGACTGAGCCCACGGTGGCATGTGAGTACCACCATCCTGACAGAGTTGCTAGGAAAGTTCCTTTGTTCTAGCAGTCGGGAAGCAGCATCCATCAGAGAAAATGCACGGTTACGCATGGTGATGATGTTACTCTATTATTGAAAATTCAGGAATAGGTATTCTGAGCTCTGGGCTCTCTGCACTGCAAGCCACTGCTGGCCTTTGTGCACAGCTACACCTTTGTGTGAGGTAGAAGGAACCCCTCTGGGTGGGCAAATTAGAAACAAAAAAGAAAAGAATTCATTTTTGGAGGAATGCGTAGCTTGGCAAGAGCTGGGGTCAGCTCACCTGCCCTCTCAGCATCTTTGTGCAGTCAACAACACATACAACTCAGCTTTACACAGAAGCCCTGCAGGGAAGGCTCTGGAGAGTTAATTCATTGGAAGATGGTTGTGTCAATCATCATAGACCTGCCAATCAGCTACCAAGGTGGTAAATTAGAAGGGGCAGGACTAGGAGGTCTGAAAAAAAAAGGGGTCATAGAAGTCCAAGGGATTTTGAGGCTCTGTCTTTGCTGTGGCCAAGAAAGGATCCAGAGTTCCAGGAGAGGGGCAGGAAGTAGCCTGGACAGTAGACATGGGAGACAGGCTGGGACTGGGTGGGCAGGAAGCCAGGCAAAGAGCCTTTGAGGTGGTAGCTGTCTTTGGGGGCTGGCACCGAGTTATCACACTATCGGAAACTCGGCGTTTGAAACCAGACTGGTTTTTACACTTCTGGTGTTTCTTTGTTTATTTCCTTTGTGTTCTCCTTTAACATTTAGTACAATTCAAAAATATTTTTCTCTGGTTAATACATGTAGAGAAGGTAAAATTGTTATTTTTGTAAATGCCATCCTATCTCCGCTGAGCACTGAGGTAGGAGCTAGGTTTTAAAGGGACAGGACGCCCCCCCACACACCCCCATTCTCCTGGCCTGGGTAGTAGCAGGAGAAGGCAGGGGTGGGCAGGCTGTCTCCAGAGCCATCCCCTCTCCTGGGGGTGACTGTTCCCAAGTTCCTCTCT